TTAAAACACGACTTCAAAACAATTCGCCGCGGTTTGGTGATAATCAGTCGTGCATCACTAATCCCAATTGATTTATTAATCACAGATCTAATTGACAGTCACATCAACTCTTGTTTTAAATTTGCTCACAATATTCTAGACGACCCTCTTCATTCACTACACCCTGATCTATCGTCTTTTCGTTCCCATCCGTCCACACGCTCCTCATTTCGACAGCTACCCTCTCGCATTAACATTTATAAAAATTCCCCTGTAACCTACCTGGCCCGACTACTCACCAAAAAAGAAACGGGTCTCAAATGAACTACGTCAAATGCTTTGTACATGATACGTATATCACCGACCTTGTTTATCTTTTGTTTTGATTATTTTTATTTCATTCTGCGCGACGAACAATGTACATTTTTAACTGAAATGTAAGCATATATGCTTACAACAGTTACAAATACAATACAATACAATACCCTATTCATTGGCTTTTCATGAATCTGTACATTGTCGGAAGGAGATGGGGAACGGTTAAGAGTAAAATACATTCAATGCATTTTTCGGAAATAAGATTAAGACCGGAAACTGAGGAATGCGTAACGACATGGTATAATTTTGTGTTATAAGCAGCTAGTTCTGATTGATTAGATACGGAAACAGAGATGATGATATCATCAGCATACTTGAAATATCATACAGGAGGAGTGACAGATACATCACTGAATAAGTTGCAAAACGATAGGGTGATAAGACAACACCTTGAAGTACACCCGAAATACTGTATGATGCCGATGATTGTTTTCTTCAGAATGTAACTTATCGGTATTTTTGCTAAAAGTGATCACCAAGACATTGAATAGGAGAAAGGAGGGGGACACCAAACGATTGGAGCTTGACAAGCAGGAGAAAAGGGGGCACCGATTCAAAACCGAAAGAATAATCAAGAAATATACTGTGTACATTTTTGGCTTTCTCGTTTAGGTACTTGCAGTTGAAGTGAACTGGAGAAGAAACGGCATCTAGCGTTGAGTGGTTTGCTTGAATGCAAAATAATGAGTGACATCGGGGGTGGTGAGAGATAAACGAAGACGATGCAGAACTGACCGCTCCATCAATTTCAAACCAGTGGAAATTCGAGCATTCGACCTGAAACGTTTTGCTCTCGGGACCTTCGTCGTTCCTTTGGGTATGGATGTAATTCTCAACGAGCGCCAGCACTCTGGAATAGTTCGGACTTCCAGTGAAAGATTAGCTATGTGTGCAAAACTGTGAGACAATGGTACCGCATCGTGTTTAAGGAGTGTACGACTCAAAGTGTCTGAACAAGGTGTGGTCGATACCCTGAGAGAACGCCCATGTTCTCACAATTCACTACAGGTAATGAGTTCAAAGGAAGATGGGATGCTCGGCAATCTCGGTTCAATAAAGCTGGTGCATGTCAGACGAAGAATGGATAAATGCAGACTCAGTTGTTCTATATCAATATCTGCCTAGAGTAGTTTGATTTCACGCCACATAGATTTATAGTTTGTCGTCTTAAATATTGACTTGCATGAACGAAATCCAATAGTCTTATTTTACTCTTGATCAGAAAAGACAGTCTTTACATTTCAACCCTCCTGCCACATTCAAATGCACATTTCCTTTCTCGGTAGAGCTGTTTAAGAAAAGGTGCTGATGAAGGTGTTGTTGAAGAAGTACGTTAGCAATATCATTTTGGACAACCAGGTTGCGTTGAAATGAAAACTGTCGGTAACTACTTTAAGAGATTCCTTCTGGGGAAAGCCCTCGCTGATGCAACATGATGTGTTCAGGTCGGGCAAGCATATTATCCATACGACTAGCGGGCATTTGATCAAACTTTTTTTCTTTTTCCTTATTAGCGATCAAGCACAAACCATCTATGCGAACTCGTTACGGTCATCGCACCACAATCATCGCAGCGCCATTATCCAGAGTTATGCTTAGGTTGGAAACATTCCAAACCTGACAGCTTGTTATATGATGGTGCTGAAGGATTCGATTCGATTATATATGACGGATTTTTTCGTGTGATCGATTCACACTGCTAGTGGAACTCAATTATGTCGAAACAGCTGTTCAGTGATTCTTGGCTTTTCAATACACTTTCCATCCGAGTCATAACTCCGTAATCCAGTGCTGTGATGATCGGTCTAAAGCGAAAAAATGATAATCAATTGATTAGCGATGGTCTATATGCAACATTTGACCGTTGGGAATACACCATGTGACAAGAGCATTGCACCCCTTCAGTTTGTAGATTATCTCCGCCCCCATTTGCGTGATCATCACCATTTTTGGGAATTTAAACACCAACCGAATGAAAAGCAGAAACAGTAAATTTCATCAAATTATCTTTTATTTTAACGAAGAAAAAATAAAAAAAATTAACCGCGATAAATTTATTGCATCCCCTCGAATTTAATCATTCACGCTACTTTAACACTGTAAAATTTCGGATCATATCCGGGTTGATTCGGTTTCGCTCCTGAACAGGGATACTCGTATTTAGTGTTGTGTTGTCGTAACTCTAGACTGTTGGTTCATCTTTCGAGAATACCAAAATTATATCAGTGAAAATTCCTCAGATCATGGATGGGTTGAAGACCGGATTAAATGGAAATTTCAGAGAAACACGTTGTAGATTGCACCAGCTGGTGCCGTTGGCACATGAGTACTAAAATTAATGTCTTCGGAATACTTGAAATGCTGAGGAGGAGTGAAAAATTCATGTCTCTGAAAACCGTAATAGGCAGTTTCGACCATGTGCATGTGTTCAAATAGGGGCACTTGTAAATATTTCAGTATTAGACCACCGAGCGAAGATTGCTGTTAGCTACCCTTCTTCGGTTATCGGGATTATTCTCAGGGGACAGATTATAACAAGGTTCATTTTTGAACGCCACTGACCATCGTTCATTTGTCAGCGGCGATTATTTATCACTAGAAAAGTTAAGTGGTCATTTCGACCCCTTTCGTGCATCATAAAGAAAGGAAAATGATAAGGGACACTAGACGGCATAACATGCCGTTTTCTAGAATAGTCAGTGATGAATTGATGCGGGTCAACATGACTGTGCGGCCGTTCGAGAGAGAAAGAAGATCCGGGCCTTTACTGTGTCAAGGGCCTGTCACAATCGTTAACAGCTTTTCGCGGTCGTAAAAAGTACTACTGACGTGGATACAACCGTCTGCAGAAGATTGACATGACTGTCTACAAGAAAGCCTTACCGACTACACATATCGGATTAAATGTATGCATAAATCAGTAGGATAGAATTACAGAACAGAAACCAAATATGGTGACGAATCGCTTAAACAAACGGCA